AGCTACTAGTGACAGGAGCTATTTAACCAAAGCTAAAGAACATTATTCGGAAATTGATTTAGATGCCATAGGAGAATTCTCATGGGACGAAAAAACTCCCGGAGTACAGGTCCTCCTAGCTACGCTGACAGACAGTGAAGACAGACCCAAATACCGCCAGGACTTAGAGACGTTCTGCAATAAGATGATCAATGACACACCAAGAACACCCAAAGGCCTGGTGTTCATCAGGAAATGGGGTTCACTCAGATACGCAGCCAACGTAGCGATGATCTGTCTAATGGCGGCAGATCTGGGCATTAATACACAAACATACCGTCAATTTGGACAGGAACAGATACATTATATTCTAGGGTCGACAGGGAGGAGTTTTGTAGTTGGTTATGGAGTAAATTCACCCCAAAGACCCCATCATGCTAGTAGTTCTTGCCCTAATCCGCCAGCAACTTGTTCCTGGGAGGATTTTGACTCCCCTGGGCCTAATCCACATGTGCTATATGGTGCTATGGTCGGTGGGCCATATGCAAATGACGAGTATTCAGATGACAGAAATGATTATGTAAGAAATGAAGTGACGTGTGATTTCAACGCTGGGTTCCAAACGGCCGTCGCTGCGTTGAAGGCTATTTCTGACGTCATTACTCCCTCTAACGTAACTACACCTGTCACTAGTAACCTCAACTCACCTGTAACAATCAACAGTGCTAATTATCAACTTGTGGAGATTGAGCAATGGGAAGGCAACTATCTAGAAGAACTCATCTTGACGGTTCCTTTCACTACTGATAATTGGACGATGGAACTCACCTTCTCTGACGTCATTGATAACTTCCAGGTGAGTCAATATTTTTTATGGGTTCTAAAATTTATCCTTGTATTTTCTTCATCATCTCCCCCTCCTCTCTTCTCCTCCTCCCTCTTCATTTTCTTCTCCTCTTTCTCTCTCCCCTTTCTTCTTTTCTCTCTTTCCTAGATACAGAAATAAATAGCTTCTTACACACATACATACATACACACACACATACACACACATATTTACTTATCCCAAATTATGCACACACACACATTAGTAGTAGTAGTAGTAGGAGCAGTAGTAGTAGTAGTAGCAATATTAGTAGTAGTAGTAGTAATAATAATAGTAGTAGTAGTAGTAATAGCAATAGTAGTAGTAGTAGTAGTAGTAGTAATAGCAGCAGTAGTAGTAGTAGTAGTAGTAGTAGTAGTAGTAGTAGTAATAGTAGTAGCAATAGTAGTAGTAGTAGTAGTAGTAGTAGTAGTAGTAGTAGTAGTACCAATAGTAGTAGTAGTAGTAGTAGCAATAGTAGTAGTAGTAGTAGTAGTAGTAGTAGTAGTAGCAATAGTAGTAGTAGTAGCACCATCATTGTTACCAAAGTATCGTACACAATTTCCCCAACTTAAATTAGAACACATAATTATTAAGATTATTATTATTATTATTATCTGAAATATTACTTTTAATCAAAGGTTTGGGATGCCAACGTTTCACCAACACATGGCACCATCATTACACTGACCAATAAGTACTACAACGGCAACCAATCCCAAGGCGCCAAACTGACCTTCGAATACTGGGTAACTTACAGCTCTGCCAGACCTACGATCACTTCTATTAAATTATATCATTAATAATCCTTGGACTAATGTCATAAAAACTAAAATGAATGAAAAAAAAAAAAGATTGATATATATTCTTTTGATGTTATTGAAATGAAAGATATGTTTAATTATGTTAAATTTTGGGATTATGTTAATTTTAATGATTTATTAGAGTATTTGTTTTGGTGGGAAATATTATTGTTTTGGTTGTGTTAATGTGTTTTGGAGGTAATTATCACATGAAGATTAGACACCCTTGCTTATTTGACCTGAAGAGCAGCGTGCCTAAACTTAATATAATCTAATCTAAGCTAAATTAATCTAATCTAAGCTAAATTAATCTAAGATACCTTGAATAAAGACCAAAGCCAAGGTATTCCATTGTTTCCTCTTTCCTGTGTGGTTCATATTTATCAACCAATTTATACTCATTTGCGATGTATATAGATTTATATAATGATTTTTCAGCATAGATATAGTGTCAGTGTACATATATATTTATCTAGAATACGTATATAAATTGAAATAGTTCTGTAATTATAAAATATCGTAGAGAATAGATGCTGCGCGGACGTCATCATTGCGCATGCGTGAGTTGCAGATGTAAACAAGATGCATTCGTAACTGAAAAAAAAATCCCACTAAGTAATCCTTCCTAGCGTTGAATTTACATATTTTAAACAATAAATAATATCCTAATCGTGAGAAAATGTAATACATGGTGTGTAAATGACTAATAAATGGCCTTTAAGCGTTTGACATTTACAAAGGGAATCTTCATAACTTGGGTATAATGTTTCAAGGAAAATCATGATCAGTTGTTGCTCGGCTCTCCTCCGGGCAGGTTGTGCAGAGTCAGTGGCTTCGCGCGCGTGTGTGTGGCCAGGACTTCGCTACTGTGGCCGAATAGTGTTTGTGGCCCTTTGTGGTGGCCAGCGATTAGTTAACAGTGCTCTGTGGCCAGGACTCTGACACCTACTCCTCCTAACTGGCTAATCTCGTCAATCTGTGGTAAGAGAATATTTTATATATATCAAATCACTAATCACATGAAAAATGAACCACAGTGAATACCAATGAGTGAATAAACCCAATCGAACCTAAATGAATAGCCAATCAAGTGAGGAAATACGGGATTATTATTCATGGTGCGTTGGAATTCCCTGCCAATGCTGATTTTACTGTTATACTTCGAGGAAATTCCCCACATATCATATAATCTAAATCATTAATTATAGACGATAAATAATCAAATAAATACATTAAATATCTTAAAGTCTTTGTAAATTATATATATTTAATTTATTTATTTAATCTCATAAGGAAACTAAGAGAATCTATCATTGATTATATTCGTATTAAAATAATTATAGGGTTTGGATTCTATATAATTTAACACTATTATTCCCCTATTCTATATAATTATTTCTAGTACAAGATTCTGATATATTATTCTGACGAGATATATAATCAGATGTATAATTAGACATATATAATCCAACCCTTTAATCCAGGTGTATAATCTAAATATAACTCGGGTAGATGTTACTAGGCGGTGACTTAAACAAGGTTATATCAGCAAGAAATTATAGCCTTGAGGACTTAGCTGTTATAGGTACCGTATATATATATATAACTTATACGCGTTCCTATAATCATACACCTTATAATAGAGTAAATTAGTAATATATAATTTTGTAGGATAAGTCATAATGATTATATATAGTTAACTTATTATACTATAGGCTATGGTGATATAATCGTTCGGTAATTATAGAGCCTATAGTGAAAACCTCTATTTAAAGGACTCTATAGGGAGGAAAGTTCGCTATATCTAGAGTCCGTTAAATAAGTAAACCCTCCCTATAACGGATTATATCGAGAAATCCGTTATTTAGACTATAGAGGATGTATATAATCGTTTTCTGTACTACTGGGACGTTGGTTCGTTCCCAGGTACCTACAGTCGACCCAGTTGTGGATGGGTACCTGACGTTACAGTTGAGGAAGGGAAGGGGGTTGAGTACAGTGTCGGTTTTGTAGTTAGATTTTGTAGTATTTTGTAGTATTTTGTAGTGACGTTTTGTAGTATTTTGTATTGGGATTTTGTAGTATTTTATAGTGACGTTTTGTAGTATTTTGTAGTGGGATTTTGTAGTGAGGTTTTGTAGTGTGGGATTTTGTAGTATTTTGTAGTGTGGGATTTTATGGAAGAGGATTTTATAACTGGATGGGAGCACCTGTAGACACGGCTAGGCCAAGAGTCACAAAAACCTGCTTAACTCATCTCAAGGCCAAAAACCCTGTGGGTGTGTGGGTGTGTGCGTGTGTGTGCGTTGGTGTGTGTTCAGGCCATCTGCAGTCGGTTAGTCTTGAGGAGAGTACAATTGTTTTTTTTTCTTTTTTGGCGCGCATTTTCCCGCCAAAAAGGGGAAATGGAGGTGGTTATTCCCGCCAAAAAGGGTGAAATGGAGGTATTGTTTGTTGATGTTTATTCCCGCCAAAAAGGGTGAAATGGATGTGGTTATTCCCGCCAAAAAGGGGGAAGTGAAAGTGGTAGTTTTTGGCGCTCCTTCTTGCCAACTAGCGTGAAGTTAGTGGCGTGGTTTTTTTGGCGCAGTTTCTCGCCAAAAAGGAGGAAGCGAAGGAGGTGGGTTTTTGTGGCGCGCATTCTGTAAGGTTAATACTGTACACTGACTTGAGTTACGTAAATTTATGTTAGTTTACAGGTTACGTTAATTTATGTTAGTTTACAGGTTACGTTAATTTATGTTAGTTTACAGGTTACGTTATATTATTATTATTATTATTACTATTATATCAACAATACCTTCATTCCATAAAAAATAAAATAAATAAAATCTTTTAACACACACACTCACACACTGACAATCAACAACAACCAACCATTCACAAATGTTCAAAATCCCCTCATATCAAACTCCACCCAGGGTTAATGAACCTTAAGTGAATCTCTATACCCCTTATATAACACATTAAGTCAAGTAGTGTTCTAAAGTGCAAGGTTGGCGGGAGAAGGTGAGTAGGTGAAGTGAAGATCGTAGTAAATAAGTGACAATCAGGGAGTTGTTTTCATTCATAAGTTTAGCCCCGTATTTTGTTTTGAGTGGTCAGCTGTTGAAGGGATTGTATGTGATTGTGATGATTGTGTAATAATAATAATAATAATAACGACACTACTACAATAATAACAATAACAGTCACTATAACAATAATATACTTTGGACTTCAATGCTCAGAGATTTACAAGTACCATGCCCTTAACTGATGCACACACACACACACACAGGGATGAATACACACAGGAAGAAGTGTATGAATGTATTTACAGGTATACATGTGTGGATGTTAGGGAGATGTATACTTATAATCAAGTACGTACATAGATTTTGGTGTACATGGATAATACGTACATGATTGTCAGTAGGAACCTTTGAGAATCCATCTTTGTGTGGTAGCTTAAGTGAGTCAGTTAGATAAGTTCTCACATCACCAGTTAGGAGGAAAACTTAACGTAGGAACCTTTGAGAATCCATCTTTGTGTGGTAGCTTAAGTGAGTCAGTTAGATACGTTCTCACATCACCAGTTAGGAGAAAAACTTAACGTAGGAACCTTTGAGAATCCATCTTTGTGTGGTAGCTTAAGTGAGTCAGTTAGATACGTTCTCACATCACCAGTTAGGAGGAAAACTTAACGTAGGAACCTTTGAGAATCCATCTTTGTGTGGTAGCTTAAGTGAGTCAGTTAGATAAGTTCTCACATCACCAGTTAGGAGGAAAACTTAACGTAGAAACCTTTGAGAATCCATCTTTGTGTGGTAGCTTAAGTGAGTCAGTTAGATACGTTCTCACATCACCAGTTAGGAGGAAAACTTAACTAAGGAACCTTTTGAGAATCCATCTTTGTGTGGTAGCTTAAGTGAGTCAGTTAGATACGTTCTCACATCACCAGTTAGGAGGAAAACTTAACGTAGGAACCTTTGAGAATCCATCTTTGTGTGGTAGCTTAAGTGAGTCAGTTAGATACGTTCTCACATCACCAGTTAGGAGGAAAACTTAACGTAGGAACCTTTGAGAATCCATCTTTGTGTGGTAGCTTAAGTGAGTCAGTTAGATACGTTCTCACATCGCCAGTTAGGAGGAAAACTTAACGTAGGAACCTTTGAGAATCCATCTTTGTGTGGTAGCTTAAGTGAGTCAGTTAGATACGTTCTCACATCACCAGTTAGGAGGAAAACTTAACGTAGGAACCTTTGAGAATCCATCTTTGTGTGGTAGCTTAAGTGAGTCAGTTAGATACGTTCTTACATCACCAGTTAGGAGAAAAACTTAACGTAGGAACCTTTGAGAATCCATCTTTGTGTGGTAGCTTAAGTGAGTCAGTTAGATACGTTCTCACATCACCAGTTAGGAGGAAAACTTAACGTAGGAACCTTTGAGAATCCATCTTTGTGTGGTAGCTTAAGTGAGTCAGTTAGATACGTTCTCACATCACCAGTTATGAGGAAAACTTAACGTAGGAACCTTTGAGAATCCATCTTTGTGTGGCAGCTTAAGTGAGACAGTTAGATACGTTCTCACATCACCAGTTAGGAGGGAAACTTAACGTAGGAACCTTTGAGAATCCACCTTTGTGTGGTAGCTTAAGTGAGACAGTTAGATACGTTCTCACATCACCAGTTAGGAGGGAAACTTAACGTAGGAACCTTTGAGAATCCATCTTTGTGTGGTAGCTTAAGTGAGTCAGTTAGATACGTTCTCACATCACCAGTTAGGAGGAAAACTTAACGTAGGAACCTTTGAGAATCCATCTTTGTGTGGTAGCTTAAGTGAGTCAGCTAGATACGTTCTCACATCACCAGTTAGGAGGAAAACTTAACGTAGGAACCTTTGAGAATCCATCTATGTGTGGTAGCTTAAGTGAGAGAGTTTGATACGTTCTCACATCACCAGTTAGGAGGAAAACTTAACGTAGGAACCTTTGAGAATCCATCTTTGTGTGGTAGCTTAAGTGAGTCAGTTAGATACGTTCTCACATCACCAGTTAGGAGGAAAACTTGACGTAGGAACCTTTGAGAATCCATCTTTCTGTGGTAGCTTAAGTGAGACAGTTAGATACGTTCTCACATCACCAGTTAGGAGGAAAACGTAACGTAGGAACCTTTGAGAATCCATCTTTGTGTGGTAGCTTAAGTGAGTCAGTTAGATACGTTCTCACATCACCAGTTAGGAGGAAAACGTAACGTAGGAACCTTTGAGAATCCATCTTCGTGTGGTAGCTTAAGTGAGTCAGTTAGATACGTTCTCACATCACCAGTTAGGAGGAAAACTTAACGTAGGAACCTTTGAGAATCCATCTTTGTGTGGTAGCTTAAGTGAGTCAGTTAGATACGTTCTCACATCACCAGTTAGGAGGAAAACTTAACGTAGGAACCTTTGAGAATCCATCTTTGTGTGGTAGCTTAAGTGAGTCAGTTAGATACGTTCTCACATCACCAGTTAGAAGGAAAACTTAACGTAAGGAACCTTTGAGAATCCCATCTTTGTGTGGTAGCTTAAGTGAGACAATTTGAAATCACGTTCTCACATCACCAGTTAGGAGGAAAACTTAACGTAGGAACCTTTGAGAATCCATCTTTGTGTGGTAGCTTAAGTGAGTCAGTTAGATACGTTCTCACATCACCAGTTAGGAGGAAAACTTAACGTAGGGACCTTTGAGAATCCATCGGCGGCAGCCATGGAGTCAGTTAGATATTGCCTCACATCACCAAAGTTAGGGAGAAACCAATTGGAACCTCTTCGAGAATCAATTGTGTGTAGCTTAAGGAAATAGTTAGATACGTTCTCACATCACCAGTTATATAAAACTTTAAATGTAGGGAACTTTTGAGAATCCATCTATGTGTGGTAGCTAAGAGGAGTCATGTTTAGATACTGCTCACATCACCAGTTAGGAGGAAAACTTAACGTAGGAACCTTTGAGAATCCATCTTTGTGTGGTAGAAGCTAAGAGAGTCAGTTAGATACTACCTCACATCACCAATAGAGGAAAAACTTAACGTAGGGTCCTTGAGAATCCATCTATGTGTGGTAGCTAGTTAGATGATGTTCACATCAAAGGAGGAAAACTTAACGTAGGAACTTTGTACTCATGTGGTAGCTATGAGGTTAGATACGTTCACATCACCAGTTAGGAGGAAAACTTAACGTAGGAACCTTTGAGAATCCATCTTTGTGTGGTAGCTTAAGTGAGTCAGTTAGATACGTTCTCACATCACCAGTTAGGAGGAAAACTTAACGTAGGAACCTTTGAGAATCCATCTGTGTGTGGTAGCTTAAGTGAGTCAGTTAGATACGTTCTCACATCACCAGTTAGGAGGAAAACTTAACGTAGGATTTGGTGAAGAAAGAAAGAAACTAAGAAAGAAAGAAAAGAAAGCAAATACCCCGTCACGTTACGCGCCAAAACACGCCAAGGGACTTCCTCATCTGGCGACATTTTCTTATCAACAGACCGGAAATGGCGAGTTTTTCAAGAGCCAGTGGCGATGTTGATTATTTTCAAGCAACGGTTAATGTTGCGTGTGTGTGTGTGTGTGTGTGTGTGTGTGTTGTGCTTTAAGGTGTATTATTATTATTATTATTATTATTATTATATTTTTATTATTATTATTATCGTATAAAGACATATAATTATATTTTTAAAAGACTAAACATTGATTCAGTATGAGAAAGGAACGTCCATGACAAACCCTGGGCATTATTGACCTTCCGGGGTAGCTATCAGGAAGTCTTCAAAAACTCTCTCGTAAATAAATAATTCCTTACTTTCAATAAAACTATTAATAAAAAACAATGTATTATTTATTATTTGGGAAGATAATACGTTATATATATATGGTTGGATAGGGTAATGGTTATATAAGTGTTGAAAGCTGTGGGTGAAAGCGGAAGTGACGTCACGGTCGGGGGATACGTACCTATTTTGTCCTTGAAATTTCAGCATAAATGTAGTCGATAGGATAACTTGTCATTGGAGAATTTGTATTTTTTTTGAGTGTTTGATTTATATAAGCCATCTGTACCTATCAAAATATTGTAGATTGTATTTAAACGAGAGAGATAGATAAACAAACACACACACACACACGTAAATAAAATAAGTCAATAGTCGTGTTCGTAGTATCTTCCTTAACATTGACCACAAGGACGCTCACGCACCCATAACCACAGCGTCAACAAACCCTCCTTATCCTTGTAGCTTCAATAACTTCCAATAGCGTATAATTGAGGAAACGGAGAAGACTGAAGTAAATTGAAGTAAATTACGCGCGTTGTGGCTCCATACGCTATCTTCCTCTATAATCTGTGATATAATAATTAAGAGTTTAAATCATAGGGGAATATTAATGTTGTTTTGGGTGTAATGTAATATCTAAATTATATTCTCGTGTTTTGATTATTTTATTTCTTTTTTTTTAGGTAATATGGCAGTTAATAATTGCCATAATAGATGATAAAACAACACATGAACTATTATGATTGAAATAATAGTCAGAAGCTTACGTTTGGTGTGTGAAGTGAATTAATTATTCCTATGGTGTCAACTCCAGTGATTTTCCCGCCAAATAGTGACTTTCCCGCCAAATAGTGACTTTCCCGCCAAATAGTGACTTTCCCGCCAAAACACAAACCCAAGTGAATCTTACCGTCAAAAAATAAGCAAAACAAAACGGAAAACGGAAATGCAAAAATCCGCCGCCCAACCTTGAAGAAATAACCCAGTGATAACGGCCCCTTCCTAGCAACCGGATTCACCAGCACGCTTACAAGAACCACCTTCCCATCATCCGGATTCATCAACAAGCTTATACAAACGCTACCACCTTCCCATCATCCGGATTCATCAACAAGCTTATACAAACGCTACCACCTTCCCATCATCCGGATTCATCAACAAGCTTATACAAACACTACCACCTCCCCCAGGATCCGGATTCACCAACAAGCTTATACAAACGCTACCACCTCCCCAGGATCCGGATTCATCAACAAGCTTATACAAACGCTACCACCTCCCCAGGATCCGGATTCACCAACAAGCTTATACAAACACTACCACCTCCCCAGGATCCGGATTCATCAACAGGCCTACGAAAACGCTAAACTAGCCCCAATAAAACCAAAAACGACACTCGGGAGAAACATAAAAGCCTCCTGGACACCACTGGAGGGTAACTGAGAAGTCCTTTTGTTGACATCGAGGAAAATCATGGAAAGTGAAGCAAGAAGAGAAAAATGGAGACAGTTTTCCTTAATTGTCGCTTTGCTGCTGTTTACATCACACAAATCTATCGCTCAGGTAAGGAAATTATCGCTCAGGTAGGGGAATTATCGCCAAGGTAAGGAAATTATTGCTCAGGTAAGGGAATTATCGCCCAGGTATAGGAAATTATCGCCCAGGTAAGGAAATTATCGCTCAGGTATAGGAAATTATCGCTCAGGTAAGGAAATTATCGCTCAGGTAAGGAAATTATCGCTCAGGTAAGGAAATTATCGCTCAGGTATAGAAATTATCGCCCAGGTATGGAAATATCGCTCAGGGGTATAGGGAAATTATCGCCCAGGGTAAGGAAATTATCGCCAGGTAAGGAAATTATCGCTCAGGTAAGGGAATTGTGTTGGTTTTGTTGCCTTGAATTTAATGAAGAAATATGAAATAGTGACGGTATTTGGATGTTTGTGTATTTGGGGATGTTAGAAATGGACAGACAGACAGATAGATAGACAGATACATAGATAGATAGACAGATAGATAGATAGACAGACAGATAGATAAACAAACAGACAGACAGATAGATAGACAGACAGACAGACAGATAGATAAACAGACAGACAGACAGTACATTACCCTGCATTACTCCACCTCAATTTGGTGTAGACAGGAAGTAACTTTGGACAGGTGACGGGAGGGTTGCTAATGATAGGTGCCAGGTATTTCCTAGTGTGAAGTCTGTCTGTCTGTCTACGTGTCTCTCTGTTTATGTATCTCTCCTTCCTCCTTCCCTCCTTCCCTCCTTCCTCCTTCCCTCCTCCTTCCTTCCCTCCTCCTTCCCCTCCCTCACCTCAGGAACAGGTCATCTGCTCCTAACTAACCTTTGACCTTGAATAAATCATATGGGTGTTGTAATCTCTCTCTCCCCCCCCCCCCCTCCTCTCTCTCTCTCATTTCTTTGTCTTCTGTGCGTTGTGTATGTGTGTGTGTGTGTGTGTGTGTGTGTGTGTTTTGTCTCTGTGTGTCTGTGTGTATAAAATATTTTTTTTTTCTGATTATCAGTTAGTGTTAGGTGTAATAATAATAATAATAATAATAATAATATAATAATAATAATAATATAATAATAACAATAATAATAATAATAATAATAATAATAATAATAATAATAATAATAATAACAATAATAATAATAATAATAATAATAATAATAATAATAATAATAATAATAATAATAATAATAATAATAATAATAATATAATATAATAATAATAATAATAATAATAATAATAATAATAATAATAATAATAATAATAATAACAATAATAATAATAATAACAATAATAATAATAATAATAATAATAATAATAATAATAATAATAATAATAATAATAATAATAATAATAATAATCATTTACGAACGCGAATTAGTACCGAATATGACCACTGTTTACAGATGGCGTTCATACAGGTGTTTAAAGAGTGACATTAATCCTTCCATGAGAATAATCCTCAAATATCCAAGTTTAGATTATAAAACAAACTGGATTATCAACACCGGAAGGATGAGAGAGGATTATTCTCGTCATAGTTGAGGTGAGAGAACGAGAGATACGAATGGGGCAGTTATTTCCGGTAGTCGTAGTTCATGGTCGGTTAAAGTGATTCCAGCGCTTATAACTATTAACTAACTATCTTTTACTGTTGTTATTGGTAATGTGAGTTAATTGGGGGTAATTAATATATCAGAGGTTATTAGAGGTCATGGGTTAAGGTTCAATAAGCTATAAAATCCAGAAAATTTTTAGGGTGATTTTTTTTTACTTGAGTGGATGATGATAATGTAGTTTATACAACCTAAAATAATAATGTTAATGATGATGATAATGAGAGAATAAGTAATTATATTTAACTAACACTATACTAACAATACTACTACTATTTAATACTACTAATTTTACTACGACTACAAATTTTACTTCTACTACTACTACTAATAATAATAATTTAACTACTACTAATTTTACTACTGCTACCACTAATTCTACTACTACTACTACTATTAATTCTACTACTACTAATACATACTACTAATTCTACTACTACTACTAATTTTACAACTATTTCTACAAACAATTCAATAAAACAAATAGGCAGTTCATCTCGTTCGTGGTTCTATTCCAACATGTTTCATTATAGCTAAAAAAAAAATAATATAAAATACAAAAATCTCTTACATCATCTTGCCACAGGGTCAAGACGAGGCTATAATGACCTTTGACCTCTTAAAAAACGTCTGGATCAAGTACTATAAAGGCTACTGTGTATAAATAATGTATATAAGTATTTGTATGACTGTAATGATAACGTAAAGGAATGACAAAGGTTTTAATGAGAGGGTAGAGCAGCATGATACACCCCCTATGATAGCTGGAAGTACACTGAGGATGTGTAAGGGTGTCCAGGTACGATATGTTGGGCAGTGAGGGAGAGACACCTGGCAGCGTGTCCCTCCCTCCTCCACCCCGTTGGCTGGTGTTCAGGGTCGACCAGTTGTGACGTTATCCAAGGTTATATATTAAACTATTATTACCCGGTGATGTGCCTGGCTACATGGCTCTGAGTACGTGAGGTGTTTCAGTCAATCCAGAGTACGGGGGTTCGATGATTTTTTTAAGTTATGGTTTGGATTAAAAAAAAAAAGATTTATCGTACATCATTTGTTATTCAGGTGTTATATATTTACCTGTAATTAACGACGATAACACCTGGATATCGTAATCAAGCCTGGCTTCTTGGTTGTTAATCTCAATATTTCTCACGAGTACAAGGGTTCGAACGTCCCATTGACTCGTATTTACGTTAGATATATAATTATCGTTTGTTTACATAATTAAGTTGGTGATCGTATTAAGGTGAGGTTATTATCGTGTGTGTGTGTGTGTGTGACCGCTTGGTGTGTGTGTGTCTGACCGCTTGGTGTGTGTGTGGCCTTGGTGTGTGTGTGTGACCGCTTGGTGTGTGTGTCTGACCGCTTGGTGTGTGTGACCGCTTGGTGTGTGTGTGTCTGACCGGCCCCTTGGTGTGTGTGTGTGGCCCCTTGGTGTGTGTTTGTGGCCCCTTGGTGTGTGTGTTGTGGCCCTTGGTGTGTGTTGTGGCCCCTTGGTGTGTGTGTGTGGCCCCTTGGTGTGTGTGTGACCGCTTGGTGTGTGTGTGTTTGTCTTGGTGGCCTTGGTGTGTGTGTGTCCGCTTGGTGTGTGTGTGTGGTCCCTTGGTGTGTGTGTGGCCTTGGTGTGTGTGTGGCCCCTTGGTGTGTGTGTTTGTGGCCCTTGGGTGTGTGTGTGGCCCCTTGGTGTGTGGCCCCTTGGTGTGTGTGTGTGTGGCCCCTTGGTGTGTGTGGCCCCTTGGTGTGTTGTGGCCTTGGTGTGTGTGTGGCCTTGGTGTGTGTGTGTGGCCCCTTGGTGTGTGTGTTGTGGCCTTGGTGTGTGTGTGTGCCTTGGTGTGTGTGGCCCCTTGGTGTGTGTGTGTGGCCCTTGGGTTGTGTGTGTGTGTGTGTGGCCTTGGTGTGTGTTTGGCCCCTTGGTGTGTGTGTGGCTTGGTGTGTGTTGTGGCCCCTTGGTGTGTGTGTGTGGCCCTTGGTGTGTGTGTGGCCCCTTGGTGTGTGTGTGGCCCCTTGGTGTGTGTGTGTGACCGCTTGGTGTGTGTGTGTGGCCCCTTGGGTGTGTGGCCTTGTGGTGTGTGTGTGGCCCCTTGGTGTGTGTTTGTGACCGCTTGGTGTGTGTGTGTGGCCCCTTGGTGTGTGTGCCTTGGTGTGTGTGTGTGTGGTGTGTGTGGCCCCTTGGTGTGTGGCCTTGGTGTGTGTGTGTGGCCCCTTGGTGTGTGTGTGTGGCCCTTGGTGTGTGTGTGGCCCCTTGGTGTGTGTGTGTGGCCCCTTGGTGTGTGTGTGGCCCCTTGGTGTGTGTGTTTGTGGCCCCTTGGTGTGTGTGTGTGTGTGTGGCCCCTTGGTGTGTGTGGCCCTTGGTGTGTGTGTGGCCCCTTGGTGTGTGTGTGTGGCCCCTTGGTGTGTGTGTGGTCCCTTGGTGTGTGTTTGTGGCCCCTTGGTGTGTGTGTGTGGCCTTGGTGTGTGTGTGTGGCCCCTTGGTGTGTTTGTGTGGCCCTTGGTGTGTGTGTGTGGCCGCTTGGTGTGTGTGTTGTGGCCTTGGTGTGTGTGTGGCCCCTTGGTGTGTGTTTGTGGCCCTGGTGTGTGTGTGTGGCCTTGGTGTGTGTGTGTGTGTGTCCTGGTGTGTGTGTGTGACCGCTTGGTGTGTGTGTTTGTGGCTCCTTGGTGTGTGTGTGTGGCCCCTTGGTGTTGTGTGTGTGACCGCTTGGTGTGTGTGTGTGGCCCCTTGGTGTGTGTGTGGTTGTGTGTGTGGCCCCTTGGTGTGTGTGTGTGGCCGCTTGGTGTGTGTGTGTGCTGTGTGTGTGTGGCCCTTGTTGTGTGTGGCCTTGGTGTGTGTGTGTTGTGGCCCTTGGTGTGTGTGTGTGGCCCCTTGGTGGTGTGTTTGTGGCCCCTTGGTGTGTGGCCCTGGTGTGTGGTGGCCCCTTGGTGTGTGTGTGTGGCCCCTTGGTGTGTGTGTGTGGCCCTTGGTGTTGTGTGTGTGGCCCTTGGTGTGTGTGTGGCCCCTTGGTGTGTGTGTGGCTGGTGTGTGTGTGTGTGGCCCTTGGTGTGTGTGTGGCCTTGGTGTGTGTGTGGCCCCTTGGTGTGTGTGTGGCCTTGGTGTGTGTGTGTGGCCCCTTGGTGTGTTTGTGTGGCCCTTGGTGTGTGTTTGTGACCCTTGGTGTGTGTGGCCCCTTGGTGTGTGTGTGGCCCCTTGGTGTGTGTGTGGCCCCTTGGTGTGTTTGTGTGTGGCCCCTTGGTGTGTGTTTGTGACTGCTTGGTGTGTGTGTGTGCCCCTTGGTGTGTGTGTGGCTCCTTGGTGTGTGTGTGTGGCCCCTTGGTGTGTGTTTGTGGCCCTTGGTGTGTGTTTGGCCCTTGGTGTGTGTGTGGCCCCTTGGTGTGTGTGGCCCTTGGTGTGTGTGGCCTTGGTGTGTGTGTGGCCTTGGTGTGT